CACAGCCAACCTCCCATGGCCCCTCCCCCCCCCACCCCTGGCAGCCGGCCAACCTCTGTGGCCCCTACACTCCCCCGACCCCCCGCCAGCCATCCCTGATCAGGGCTGGGTGAGAAGCCCCGATCGCCAGCCAGGCCAAGGGACCCCACCTGTGCACGAATTCATGCACCAGGCCTCTAGTTATTATAAAAGAGAGAAAGCTTTGCATTTCATCTGTTTTAAATTTTCTGGGCTTATTCACTCAAGAAAGGACCTTATATACTTATGAATACCATCCCTATATACTAAGTATTTTTTAAAGTATGTTTTTATTGATTTCAGTGAGGAAGGGTGAGGGAGAGATAGAAATATCAATGATGAGAGAGAATAATTGATTGGCTGCCTCCTGCACGCCCCCCACTGGAGATCGAGCCCTCAATCAGACATGGGAACCCAACTGTGACCTCCTGGTCCATAGGTCGACACTCAACCACTGAGCCAAGCTGGCCACGCTATACTAAATATTTTTTATATACATAGCAGACCCTGTGACAGGAGTTGGACCAATAATAAATTCCATTCAAATGCTACTAAGAGGTCACCTTTATTTCATTCATCTACTCTAGGATTTGAACTTAGAAAGAAAGAGTTAGTAAAAGTTGTTACGGGCACAGCTCTGGAGTCAGATGCCTTCTTCTTTCCACCACTGATTACTGTGCAACCTGGGGCAACTCATTTAATCTCTCTGATTTACAAGATGATGGTGAGGATGAATGTGTTAATCCAGCGGTCGCCAACCAGTGGTCCATGGGCCACTGGTGGTCCATGAGGTCCGAAAGGTTGGTGACCACTGGTTTAAGGAAACCTTTGGAGCAGTGGTCGCCAACAATAAACAGGCTATACTTCTTGGCCTAACCTACATGGAAGAGCTTCTGAAAAGGAGAATTCTGGCTTATTATTAAAAGTAGAATGACTTTGGTTATTTAAAGGGGGAAAATGGCAGATTTATCAAAATTATAATGTATCAGTTACATAATTTTACTCACAGACCTGGCTTTGTTGAATGTGGTATTTTTTACTTTTGCCTTGTTCTGGAACTTCAATCTGCTAAAGAGATTAGGAAAATGTCGGTCAGTGCAGCCTGGAGAAGCAAGCACCCAAATAACCTATTTAACCAGCACATTCCCGCTTCCACCATAATCCTCTTAAAGGCCCCGAAGGCTGGCAGGCACACCTACTTGTTATCTGCAAATTCCCTCTTTATTTGCAAGTGTCTACGTGATACAGTAATTGAGTTGCCAAAAGTTAAGTGAAGCTTGATGTTTAACATTGGTAGTTGCCTATGGATATTGTGATTTAACACAGATTCTAAAGGGTCTTCACCCAAAATAAAATGAACTTCTAATCCTGAAATAATTCACGGAGCTCCAATCTATATGCTGAATCAAAGCCAAAGGGAGCTCTGATTAATCAAAAGGCACCATTAGTCAAGGGAAGAATCAGACTGAAGTTCAAGACACTTGAATCTACCTCAAGTTCGTAAGGTAAACTCAACGTAGCAGTCAGCGTCTGAGCAGAATACAGATGGCACCCTCTTGGGGTGATTGAGGACAGTTTTCAAGAGGAACTATTTAATGGAGGTGTGGGCAGGATTAAAGTGAATCAATGGAGGGATGTTGGAGTCCCCAGGGACTAGGGTGTGGGGGTGATTCTTCCCCCCTCTAGGCCTGAAGGGACATGAGAGCAGGTGGTACTGGAAGGGGAGTAGCTGGGAGAAGAGGCCACCCACAGAAGCGTGGCCCTTGTACAGGGCTGTGCCAATGGCGGAGATTCAGGAGGGACAGAGTGGAGAAAGAAATCCCCAATCTCACTTTACTCCCACCCTCCACTCTCCCTGGGTTTCTCCAATGGTGAGCATGATCTAAGGTCGGAGATCAGAGGGCAAGGTCACAGTACACAAAGGTCAGTCTCCAGAGCATGGAGAGGTTGGAAGAGAGTGAAGAATGAACCTGGGAGGGTAAAGCCAGCGTTTGGGAGAAAGAGTGCTTAGCTCATAGGAAAAGAGGAGAATTACTATGAAACAATGGTGTGCATGTCTCAGCTCATCACTCTGTAACTGTAATTGTCTCTTTACTAATTGCCTTTCTCCTCCAACAAATAAACTCCTTGATGCTAAATCCTCAGTTTCTAACCACTGCACGGCAAACACAGGCATTCAGAAAGGATAGAATGAGGGGTGATTTAATTAAGTTGTTTGTTATTGTTTGTTATTCATGCGAGTATAGAGCAAGACATTTCCAATTAAGTGGGATAAATAACATCGACACCACAAAAGAACATTATTTGTTAACTATGGTTAACTTAATTTTGTTGTAAAATATATTGCTTTGAAATATGCATAGGACTTAGGTTAGTATTGTTAATAGAAAGTTCATATATTTGAGGCCTATTTCAGCAATTTAAAAAAATCAGTTATTCAAGTTTCAGAAATGAGAAAGTAATGCTCTGATGTTTTATGTGTTTTACTATTATGATGACCATTCTTTTACAACATTACACCATAGCTTGTAAATAATCTTGGGCAAAGAACTACAGAGTTGGGGGAAAACTCAGAATTGTTCTCTCTCCCAGTCTCATTCCCCTCCCCCTCCCTAGGTAAAAATAACTAAAATAGAACCCACTACAGATGTGAAGCGATTTCTGATATAATCTATTTCCTTGTTTCGATAAGGCTTTAAATATGTTACATCCTAGAAGGAATAAAGTTGGGGGAAAAGCTAATTCTTTTTCATAAGGCAGTATTCCTGCACTTTCTCCTTCATCAACAGAGTAGTTTCTATTAACAATCTAACCACTTACTCCCGCATCATTCTTCCCCCTGGCTCTCTAAAACTTGGTCCTCTGTATGCTCAGGCCCTTCTCACTGCCACTGCAACATGTCTGTACTTCTGTCTTCTGAACTGGATGAGCAATTCAAAGGCGGGCATTGCTGCGACATCAGACAGCGCTGCCCCCAGTGCATTCCCTCCTTACCACCTGCCAGGAACACACTTCAAAGCTCCCATCTGGGAGCCCGGCAGCCTTTTACATGGTCTGATCTTACCCAGGATGAAAGCGAAGTGGAGAGAAAAATAGTGCATATGTGATGGGAGTTTGGGAGGGGCTGAGAAGTCTGAGGCAAGCAGGAAGCAGAAGGCCATCTTAGTCTCTGCCATTTCTCAGAAAACCAATTTAGAGAGTCGGACGCACTTTAAAGCGAACAAACTAATAGGACAATCTAAGTATGGATTATTACAAATATGAAATGTTTTTCAGGATATTTTGAAAAGTTGATTTTAGAGAGAGAAAGGGAGAGATAGAGAGAAACCTCCATGTGAGAGAAACATCCATCGGCTGCCTGCCACCCGTCCCATGACTGGGGATTTAACCCATAACCCAGGTATGTGTCCGACCAGGAATCGAACCAGCTACCTTTCGTGGGTGTATAGGATGATGCTCCAAACAACGGGGCCACACTGGCCAGGGCAATGTTTTTTATTTCTTTTTTTAAAAAATATATTTTTATTGATTTCAGAGAGGAAGTGAGAGGAGAGAGAGAATCATTGATTGGCTGCCTCCTGCACACCGCACACTGGGGATCGAGCCCGCACCCGAGCATGTACCCTGGTCGGGAATTGAACTGGGACCTCCTGGTTCTTAGGTTGATGCTCAACCAACCACTGAGCAATGCCAGCCGGGCCTGTTTTTAATTCAGAAAATTATTCATCAGTGTATTCCTGATACCGCTCATGTATTCAGATTATGGTTCAATACACAAAATTGAGAAACTCCTTAGGAATACCTCTACTGCATAAAACACGTTTCCTTTTCTTGGTGTCTTTCATACATTTTATATTTGCTGGTAGCTTACTCCATTATCCATTCTGTCCTTCTTTCTTAGTAATGTGGGATGTGAGAAGGAATATATCTGCTGAGAAGGACTCCTTGCGATTAATTGGGCTCACAGTCATAATCAGAGTCTAGGCGTCATTGTTTACAGAAGCTAATACACATACTGCACATTAGGGAAAAGCCACAGACTGAGCCACCAAGTCTCCTGCGCTGCATTTTCTGAGCCTACGCTTACGAAGGAGTTCCTGGAATCATATTTTGACCAATGAGCTGAGACCTGCCCTGTCCAATTGGAGCTGTGCAGCTATATCCTCATTTGCATCTTTAACAACCGATCAGAGAGGCTCCATAATAACCAATCTGTATGTACAGTTCTGGCCAATCAGAACAGTGCTATTTGGACCAATCAAACTGTGCACATTTAGGTCCCTCATTTGCCTAAAAATGAACCAACAGGGACCAGGACTGGCCTCCCCTTTGCTTTGGTGGAGAACACTTTCAGTTTCCACTGGAACCTGCATTTCCTTAGTTTGCAAACTGTTCATCTAAATAAAGTTTCTCCTCTTTCTGCACCCCAGACTGGGGAGTCCTGTTGGCATTCGATTTGGTGGCAGGGACCTTGTGTTGACAGTAATAACCCCTGAGAAACAACAACATACCCTACAAAACTACTAAATAACCAGCTCCCTTGCATCTAGGTGTGGGCCTGTGGTGTGACTAACTGTTGGCCAATGAGCTGTAAGCAGAATTCTGTGGGGGACTTCTAAGATGAAGTCTTAAAGAGAAGAGATAGGTCCTTCTAGACTTGTTGCCTAGAATGTGGAGGTGATGACCGGCGCTCTAGCAGCCATCTTGAGCATGAGGTGAAAGCCACTGAAGACGGCAGAGCAGAGAGGTCTCTGGTGAAATCATGGAGCCACCGTATCAGCCTGGACTGCCTACCTCTGAGCCTCTTTTGGATGAGAGAGAAACAAACTTTTCTTTTGCTAATGATACTTGTTTGGGTTTTTTTGTGATACGTAGCCAAACCTATTCCTAATATACTCTATTTTCAAATAAAATAATCCTTATAATTCTGTCCTAGCTAAAAGTAGCAAATATTAACAAAATTTCTTTAGGCATTAGTGTAGTTGCATTTTTTAATTCCTTCTGGTTTGCAGTTAATACTGCTGTTAAGAGTTTAACATGACTTTTTTATTATTGACTATTGACATTTTTCTTTAGCACATTTGTTTGACTTAAAATTTTAATGGTCTCTTCATAAATGTTTCAAATCTACCTTTGAAAGCACTGCCTAAAGCTAACTAAGCCAATTAACTTTACATTGGCACTACATTTTTTCTTTTCTCCTTTCTTCTTACTGGGACACAACAGTGCTGTTTAATATGCATCCAGGGACCATCTGCTTTATTCATGGGCTCATTTGGTTACAGTTTCCTCAGTTTATCTCTCCCTCCCCAGATTCTTCATGACTATCCAAATCTTGGAATCACCCTGGCCAGGTGGCTCAGTTGGTTGGAGCGTCCCAAGCATGTCAAACTTGCCCGGCCGGAGAGTGCTGCTTCATTATTTGCCCACCAAAGGTTTTGGTTCCATTCCCCTGCAGGCACATACTTAGGTTTCCAGTTTGATCCCCCGTTGGGCCATGTATAGGTGGCAACCGATCGATGTTTCTTTCTCACATCAATGTCTCTCTATCTCTCTTCCCCTCCCCTCCCTCTCTCTCTCTCCAATCAATAAAAACATATCCTGGGGTGAGGATTTTTTAAAAATCATGGAATCTATTCTGCCTTGCAAAATAGATGCCTCTGTATCCTGGTCTATATGAACCTTCTTTTTTTTTTCTTTTCTTTTTTTACCTTCTTTAGGCGATATGCATCAGTTTAAACTTTATGTGGCAGTGAATTTCACAGTCATACATTTATCGTTTATTTATTTTTTACTGCTGACAATATTGTAGATGTCCCTCACTCTCCCCCCACCTCTTAGTTTGCCCCCCTCCATCATGTCCACAGGCCACCTCAGCAGTCATACATTTATATGGCTCCTTTAAGCCACAACATGACTTGTTCTCATCAATTGTACTTTGAGAGGAGGCCCAGAGTCAGTTGAAGTTCAAACAGCTAATCTGATTTTTCCACACCAGGGTCCCATTCTTCCCAGGGATTTGTAGCTGACATTCCAGATTGAAATGTGGACTATCCCTACAACATCCTCTTGAAAACCCAATCTTCAAGAGGAAGGGTCTTAACCTATCTTTTTAAGAACAAACATAAAAGGGGGGGGGAAGGACACATATGTAATACCGTTTGTAATACTTATTGTAATATTTTTTTAAAAAAGAATTTAAAAAAAGAACAAACATAAAAAATAAAATAAAAAAAGTCTATGGCAATAAAACTTGAGTATTTGGATAAAGCAATATAAATACTGGCTAAAATGCTGATTTTGTGATCAGCCATAGGGATAAACTGTACATTTCCATTTGTGTGCAGCTCTAAGGAATGTAGTTAGTGTGGTTGCTTTTTTTTTGAAAACTTTAAATAGATGACTACCTTCTCCTATTATTGAGCAAACTCTTTAGCTAGTCATTGTACAACTATTTCCTTGGCATCAAGTAGCTTACATTTCATTCAACTACACTTGAGGGCACTTGTCCCTTTTAATAGGACTACTTCAGTTAATTTTCTTTTTCTTCTTCTCCTTTTTACATACATAATAATTGGAGCCTAAAGGGTTCGATTTTATTACTCTTTTCAAAAGAGCATCCTTGATTCTTTTATTGCTTTCCTTTGCTGCTCCAGTACATTTTGAATTGTTTAAACACCAATAGGCAAGTACATTTTATTTTCCCTGGGAAAACACTTTTAGCTTCGAAAGAGAAATAAAGGTAAAATGAAACTATTTTCTTAGAAAAAAATCTTCAGTCAAGAAAGAGCAAGATTAAACGGAAGGTGTCACCCATCCTCTTATGGAAGATTACATTGAAATGAAAACATTAGGAAACATTTCCAAATGCTCTCTGTTGTATTTTTAAAGGTCGGGGTGATATCCTGCAAAAGAATTGTCTTTTGTTTATAAATGTCAACCAGGCACTGGTATTTGTAAACACTTAAAAAAAATCAAACTATCCTGTCTTATTAGGGGCATCCTTATCTCATACTGTGACAAAGCAAGTAGAAAAGCAACTCTATCTCAGTGAGCCTTTTTTCAGCCAGCCCTTTCAATGAGATGTGAGGCCTTTAGTAAACTTGCAAAACAAAGTTTAATTTCACATTGAGAAATATTATAGTCTCGAGAGCTTGTTTACTTGATGTCTTCTCCCAACTGCTACAGGCATTTTAACTTGGCACAGTGGAAGTGTCAGGAGGCTGGGGTTCTTTCTAGGGACAAAGCTGCAGAGCTCCTTTAGGGTCACTGCTGCTGTGTTATAGGCCGCTCAAGACCCTGACTTTATCGTGTAGCTTTTATGGAGAAGGCAGAAAAACAGGATTCAGCGTAGAACAGGGATGGGGAATGTCCGGCCTGCAATAAGGGCCATCAAATCATCTGGTCTGGCCCTGCCAAGGCATTAGGGGTGAGTTCATTAAATGTTTGACCAAATATAGCAGGCTCATTCTTTAAGTGGATAATTTTGTATGGCCTGTGAATGATGTTATAAATATCCAAATGGCCTTTGGCTGAAAAAAAGGTTCCCCACCCCTGGTGTAGAGGGTTAGAGAGCTCTCAGCCACCCAAGGATGATTCTTGTTGGAAAAACAGCTTGAATTTTTAAAGAATGCGCCGACCAGAAGGCAGAGGAGCTCACTGCTCAAGTCCTCTCTCCAGGCCCAGGGATCAGCCTTGTTTAGTGTCAGCAGATGGTTGGAACTTAAAGGGAAAAATACACAGAGAGAAGAGCACTCACCATTTCGGGGTTCTCCGCAGCTCGCTTTGCCATCTTTTCTGAGATCATTTTTTTCAAGCAGCTGCTCAGCAAAAAAGCCTAAGAAATCCAGAAAGAAAGGAGTCTCCCAGTGAAAGAGATCTTTCTCCTCTTCGTTCCCTCCTCACACCACCCAGCAGGTTTTGAGCTCTGCCCTTCAATAGTGCGAGTTTATGTTTCTTTCTTAACTTCCATGAATTTGCATAAGATGTAATTAACACGTAACAAAACATTTTCTCAATATGTGGATCTATTTAGAGTACATTTTTTAAAAGACCGACGAAAAAATGGCCAGGATCTCATTACTAATCATTTTCCCTCTTAAAACTTACCCCTCACATCCCATTTTTCCTATTACTTTGTAAGCATCTCGTGTTTCAACAAATAGTAAAAAAAAAAACTACTCTTTATTGTAACCAAATGAGCTGAAGTTGGTCAATCTTATAGTTAACTGTATGCATAGCAGGAGGCATAAATAGCAACCTGTCTCTCTGAAAGAATACATCAGCACCTAATGGCTTTTACTGAACTAAAAAAAAATTAGTTGTTTTTCTCCACTTCCTTATTTTTCTGGTATCTTTCATCATTCACTTTCAACACTGACACCTGTCCCCAGTGTCACCTGGGGCTTTGCTGTTGGCTTATCATGATTAGTCCAAGACACACGTTACATATCGTGTTGCACAAAAGCCGGGGTTTCCTGGTTACAGGATGCTCACCCCTATTTGCCAAATGCAAGGTTCCCTGTGATTTTCCCACTTGCTCCTTTCCCACTAACCCTTTTTCTCTCTTGTCCTGCTCCCAGTTCTCTGCTTGCTCTCTTTTCTTTTGGTCCTACCAAGGTTTGAGACAAACGAAGCCCCAAGTTTGAGGTTATAGGATCTTAGTATAAGTTTGTGCTCAAGGATGGTCACTCTACTTGGGGTGGGGGGGGGGGGTGATAGAGAGGAGGAAAGAGAAAGAAAACTCAGGTTAGGGTAGCAGCCCCTGTAGAAAACTCTGGAAGGATAGTTCATAGAAATACTCAGAAGGAGAGTGGGCTCCTTAGAGGGAACAACTCAAAGTCTTGCAGGACTGTGGAGCATGATGGGAATTCATTTAATTTTAAAGGGAGAGAAACGTGGGAAGAGGGAAGAAAGGCACTGCCACGAATAAGAAGACCACTCCTGGTTTTGATAAGGACTAACCCTGTTTATCTGTGCACATGTGTTAGCTACACAAAATCAGGGTGTGGAATGGCTCAACAACACCCCCTGAGCTGATGCAGCCAGGAAGGATGCTTAATGGAGTCCCCCAGGTCCGGACTGATTCCATACTACTATACAACGTACATCGATATGTAGGTTAGGACTCTGCTGTACACCAGGTAAGGTTTATTACATATAAAGAGACTGAGCTTTTGTTTAAGGACTTAAAGGAGATTTGAACCGAAACCCTCATTGGTAGTTAGTTACAGGTTAAGGCACACGAGCCACATTTCTGCCTTTTGCAAAAGCAGTCCCTGAGTGCACATCAATAAACCCACACTCCAAAGGAAATAAGACCTCGCTAGGAGTCCTTTAAATGTTTATTACCCCTCTCTATAGCGGTTTAAGCTCATTTGCTACAGCCTAGATTAAAAGACCATAAAAATATTTAACTATTGCACTTAGCATTCTAGGGGAGGAAGCGTGGTTTCCCTACCAAAATCACTCTCTGTCTCTCCAAGTGACTGCAAATCTTGCCTCAGCAAACATCCTATCTTTTCCCTAAGAATGTTTCATACTATTGAGTAGTTGCAACAGAGACCAAATGAACCTCAAAACCTAAAATATTTACCACCTGGCCCTTTGAGAAAAAGCTCACTGACCCCTGCTTTAAGCCACTGTTAGTCAGGGGTCAGGAACATCTGGTCTGCAGGCCGTCTGGCCCTGCCAAGGCATTAGAGGTGAGTTAATTAGATGTTTAACCAGATACAGCAGGCTAATTTTTAAGTTGATAATTTTGTATGGCCCGTGAATAACATTATAAATATCCAAATGGCCCTTGGCAGATAAAAAGGTTCCCCACCCCTGTATGGTAACTAAACTCATTTATAATTGACTAGAGGCCTGGTGCACGAAATTCATGCATGGGGTGGGGGGCGAGGGTGTCCTTCAGCCTGGCCTGCACCCTCTCCAATCTGGGACCCCTCAGGGATGTCTGACTGCCGAATCCTGCAGGATTGGGCCTAAACCGGCAGTTGGACATTCCTCTCACAATCCAGGACCACTGGTTCCTAACCGCTTGCCTGCCTGCCGGCCTGATTACCCCTAACTGCCTCTGCCTGACAGCCTGATAGCCCCTAACCACCTCTGCCTGCTGGCCAGATCGCCCCCAACTGCCCTCCCCTGCCGGCCTGATTGCACCCGTAACTGCTCTCTCCTGCCAGCCTGATCGCTCCCTAACTGCTTGCTGTCCCGTACCAGTCTGATCTTGCCCCTAACTGCTTGCTCCCCTGCCAGCCTGATTGCCCCTAACCGCCTCTGCCTCGGCCCTGCCACTGTGGCTTTGTCCGGAAGGAAGTCGGACATCCGGAAGATGTCCAGTTGACCCGGTCTAATTAGCATATTACCCTTTTATTCGTATAGATATGAAGGCTGTGATGGCTAGCAAAAGAAAACAAAATTTAGAAAAAGAGTGTTACAGCCCTAAAAGAGAGTGCGTAGCATACTCTGGTAATCAGCAAGGGTTAGGGTGATGTGCTGTGTCCACCCCCGTGAGCAAGAGGGCATCTCAGCCCAGGTTTCTTGCTCCTCCCGAGAACTCACCTGTTTGGTGTAAAGGACGAACCACTGCCAGCGACTCTCCTCGCTGTACTGGAATCGGAGCTCCAGGTTCTGGTTGAGGGTTCGCTGGGGCCCATCCATATCCAGCAGAGTCCCCTACAGAGGAAAAGACATTATTTGATAGTTGATAGAAGTTTAAGTGGCACAGGCTGCAAGGCATGCGGGGGGTGAGAGAAGAGGCTTAGAGAGTAGGCAAGGGCAGATCCTCATTTGTTATTATTCTCCCTGATTTTTGCTCTACAGCATCCATCCTTCGTTCTCCTAGTGATGGAGTCTCATATTCCCTTGGGAAAGCCATCTCTCATCCACTGTGGCTATGTAGATGGGACTATCAGGGAACGCTGCCTCCCTGAAGGGTGTCACGTGACCCAGACTCAGACCACTTGAACAAATACTCTCTGTGCCCCTCATTTAGTTCCACAGCAGAGCGACCAAGGAGGAGGTCCTGGTAAAGAATCCCTAGGAACCCTAAGCTCCTGAGGCTCCTGACTTTCCTAAGCCTCCGTTTCATCCTTTCCTTTAAATCAGTGGGTTCCCGTAACCCTCCAATAAATCCCTTTTTCACTAGAGCCACAATGTTGTTTTCTATTGCTTGCCACCCAACACCCCTAACTGTTCCAGGTCTTATAAGCTAAATTAAGGAGTCTGGACTTGATCGTCAGGGCAACAGGCATTTATTAAAAGATTTTAAAAGCTATATAATAATACAATTATCTTTATATTTTAGAAATATTGGTCTGACAGCATCAATGTAAAAACTGAACTGGGAAACAGCTGTTTTCTGACGTTGAATGACAGATAACGCAGAACTGTTAAGTGAGGGAGAATAATAACCAGTGAGGTGAGCTCTACAATTACCCAGCTTACCACCTGGAGGACTTTCCAGGAGGCGGCGTAAGGAGGGGGAACCCAAACGGAGCCCAGAGGTCATGCTGAGTTGAGGAGAAGAGAGAGACATTTGAACAAGTCCAGGTTAGCATTTGTGGGGCAGACGATCAAAGACAAGGGCTTTCTTTATACAGAGAAAAAGCTCCAGAGAGCTCATTTCAAATCTTTGGCTGAATAATGATAATGTGCATGTATGGGGTGTACAGATGTTCATGCACATCTGTGCATGAGAGGCTGGGGAAAGAGCCACTGAAAAGCTGTAGGCTGAACAAATCTAGGAGCTCACAAATTGGGCTGGAAATGGGTTTGTGTTTCTATCAACCAGAGTAGAGAGACCATAATAAACAAAACATTGGGAGAGTCCGAAAAATGACAGCTAATGAATGACAGCTAATGAGTAAAGGATTAAATTAGCCCTCAAGACTGTTCTTGACCTACCTTAAGAGAGCTTAAAAGCAAGCTTATAATGAATTAATTTAAAAACCAATCCCAAGGAACTTAATTGCATGCCAGAACAAAGTCTAATTACTCTTTAAAGGAATACCATAAAATCCAGCATTCAACAATGCAAATTCACAATGTTCAACACGCCATAAAAAATTACCTGGCTTACAAAATAGGAGAAAAGTATGCTGTGCAAACAGGAGAAAAATCAATCAGTAGAAACAGACTCAGAAATTACAGAAATAATGGAATTAGTAGACAACAATATTAAAACAGTTACTTTAAATATATTCCACACACTCAAGAATTTAGAGAAAAACATAGAATGACAAGGAAAAAATGGAAATGTGAAAATGACCTATATGGAACTTTTGGAGATGAAAAATACAATAATAGAAATAAAAGATCAATAACCTTAAAGCCATAGCAACAGAAACTACTGAAAATGAAGCATAGAAAGAACAAAGACTGAACTAAAGCCACAATGAGATACTACTTTACATACATGAGGCTGATTATGATTTTAAAAATCAGACAATAACAAGTATTGTCAAGGGTGTGGAGAAACCAGAACCCTCACTGCTGGTGGGGATGTAAAATGGAGCAAATGTTTTGGAATTTCCTCAAAACCTAACCATAGAGTTACCACGAGGGCAAAGTTACCAGAAATTCCACTCCTAGGCATAAACCCAAGAGAGATGGAAACATATGTCCACATTAAGAGTTGTACACACATGCTCATAGGAGCATAATTCACAACAACCAAAAGGTAGAAACAACCCAGATGTTCGTCAATGGATGAGTGGATAAACCAGATTTGTTATATTTATACAATGAAAATACTATTTGACCATAAAAAAGAATAGAGTGCTAATGCACACTACCACAAGGATGAACCTTGGAAAGATGGTAAGTGAAAGGATCCAGACACAAAAGACCACATATGATTCCATTAACATGGAATGTTCAGAACAAGCAAATCTATAGATGCAGAAAGTACATTAATGTTCTCTCAGGGCTGGTGGGGATGGGGGGATAGAGAGGTAACAGGTAAAGGGTGTGGGGTTTCTTCTTGAGGGGATGAAAATGGTCTAAAATTGATTGTGGTGGTGGTTGTACAAGTCTGTGAATATAAGAAATGCCATTAAATTGTACATTTTATATGAACTGTATAGTATGTGATTTACATCTCAATAAAGTTATTACAAAGGGAGAGAATGACTGTGTGGTATTGATGGAGGGAGAGAGACATAGGTCAGGGGAAGAGAATAGAGAACCCAGAAATAGACCCACACAAATATGCCCAACTGTTTTTTGACAAAGATATAAAAGTAATTCAATTGAGGAAAGATAGCCTTTCCAATAAATGGTCCTGGAGCAACTGGATTCCCAGCGGCAAGAAAAGGAACCCTGTTCTATGATCGACACCCTATACAAAAATTAACTCAAACTGGATCACAGACTTAAATGTATAACCTATAATTACAAAACTTTTAGGAATAAACTCTAGGGAAAAAACTTCAGGATCTAGAGTTTGTCAAAGAGTTCTTAGACTTGACACAGAAAACACAATCTATAAAAGGAAAAACTGATGAATTAGACTCCATCAAAATTAAAAACTTTTGTTCCGCCAAAGACCTGTTATTAAGAGGACAGAAAAGAACTACAGAGAAAGTATTTGTAAACCACATATATCCAACAAAGGAATAATAGCTAGAATTTATTAAATGCTCTCAAAATTCAACAGTAAAACAATCCTATATAATAAAAGCCTAACATGCTAAGTGTCAGGTCATCCAGTCGGTTGTTCAATCAATCAAAGCATAATATGCTAATGATATGCTAAGGCCGCTCAACCGCTCGCTATGATGTGCACTGACCACCATGGGGCAGACACTCCAACCGATGGATTAGCTTGCTGCTGGGGTCTGTCTGATCAGGACTGAGTAAGACGGGTTGGACATGCCCTGGAGCCCTCCCAAGGTCCCTCTCCGGCTGGCCACCCTCCAGCACCCCTCCCTGGCCCCGATCATGCACCGGCGGGGTCCCTCGGCCTGGCCTGCACCCTCTTGCAATCTGGGACCCTTCAGGGGATGTCGGAGAGCTGGTTTTGGCCCGATAACTGCAGGCCAGGCCAAGGGACCCCACTGGTGCACGAATTTATGCACTGGGGCTCTAGTCCAATTAGAAAATGGGAAAAAGATATGAAAACAAGATACACAGATGGCAAATAACCACATGAAGAGATGCTCAACATCACTAGCCTTGAGGGAAATGCAAATTGAAACCACAATGAAACACCATTACACACTTATCAGACTAATTAAAATAAAAAATAGTGACAGTGCCAAATGTTGATGAGGATGCAGATAAACTACATTACTTACACATTGCTGGTGGGGATGTAAATTGGTACAACCAGCCACTCTTGAAAACAATTTGGCACTTTCTTAAAGAAACTAAACATGCAACCATGAGAGCTGTTATTTCTATTGCTGTTGTCACCGCAGCCCCCCTGCAAGCAGCGGGAAGCCTGGTGTTGGAAGGTGGGAGGCTGGGTGTCTGCTGATCTGGGTGGGGAACTTGTACCGGGCGATAAATGCGATTGACCACCGGGCGATGCCCACTGTGGCTCAGATGCTCCTTCACTTGAGGTGCTGATTCAAATGGCAGACCTGTCTCTGTGTCAGCTGTGTCATCCAGGAACAATAGGGTTTTGCCCTAGCTGGCTTGGCTCAGTGGATAGAGTGCGGGCCTGGGGACTGAGGGGTCCTGGGTTCAATTCCGGTCAAGGGCACATACCTCCAGCCGGGGACGCATGCGGGAGGCAACCCATCGATGTGTCTCTCTCACATCGATGCTTCTCAGTCTCTGTCTCTCCCCCTCCCTTCCACTCTCTCTCTAAAAATCAATGGGAAAATGTCCTCGGGTGAGGATTAACGACAACAAAATATCAGAAACAATAGTGTCTTCAGTCATGAGCGGAAACGTGAAGCCCTGGGTGAGGCAGTGCCAGATACTCACCAGGAAGGTGACCTGCCAGCACTTCACTCTGCTCATCGGGAAGACGACCTGCTGGGTCTGGCTGCCAGGCAGGGTGACGCAGCAGCTGATCTCGTTATTGCCAACGGAAAGCACAGCCCCGCAGCCCGGCTCCGGGTAGTCACAGGTACAGGGGTCCAGCTGCACACAGCCATAGTGCCGCACCTCCCGGGACAGCTCCAGAAACTGCTCCAAAGGGAGGTGCGGGGAGGGAGGAGGAAGCAAAAGGCCACTTGAAACAGAGGCAAACCTCATGTGAGAAGCAACGGCCATCCTAGTAGGACACATGCCACTGAGGGGCGTGAGGGTGCCTTTTTCTTTTGCACGATGGGAAGGAAGACAATGCCTCGTGTGATCGCTGGCAGCCAGGCCGGGGAAGGTCATGGTGCGTCCTGCCAGGGCAGGGACCACTTCTGCCTGATCCACCATGTGTCCCTGCTCCCGTTACAGAGCTCAGGAACGGTGGGAATGAAAATATTCGATGCCTGAATGGTGAATGAGGAAGAGCGACTCGACTGAGAAGTTATAATTCCATCTCAGCAAAATAGGCAAAAAGTGTACATTTAAAATGTCGTCTTCTTGAGGGCGGGCTAGAAGGGGTCAAGGTTGGGGGGGTGGGCAGAGAAAGGGATACATGTAATACTTTCAACAATAAAGATTTAGCCCCACTGGTGTGGCTCAGCGGTGGAGCATCAATCCAGGAACCAAGAGTTCACTGGTTTGATTCCCAGTCAGGCCACATGCCTGGGTTTCGGGTTCAATCCCCAGTAGGGGGCGTGCAGGAGGCAGCTGATGGGTGTTTCTCATCAGTGTTTCTATCTCTCTGGCCCTCTCCCTCCCTCTCTCTAAAATCAATAAAAAAATATATTTTTTAAATGTTGAGGGTCTGTATTAATTAACTTGATAAAGGACTCACAGTATATTGTCTGTATTTTTCAAAACCTTTAAACAAAAAGCCCTTCTTAATTTTATAATCAGAAAAATCAATAAAAGTGTTCTTATTTTGTAAAGCTGTCTTCAGTGCTTGGTGGGTTTATAAATTCTAGAAACAGCCCCATTCCACTAGGTTTCTTTAAGTCCCTCCAAGGGGATTTCTTTTGGTGCAACATTTGGTTCACCTTTGTTTGGTTGCCTTCTTCCTGGAGAGCCTCTAGTTCCTGCCTCTGTGCCTGTGTGGGTTTGGCCCACCCTTCCTGAATGTCCTGGATGGCCTTAAAACAACACAAATTGCAAAATTAGCAAACTTAGAAGAAATGAATTCATCTGACAAAAACATACTCATGTATGAAAGGCTAGAAAAACAGACCCAACTATACCCGGTATGTTTTAAAAGGTTACTTTTTAAATTAGTAGAAAGATTGTTCAGTGGTTTGGGGACAACTGGCAACACTTGGAAAAGAAAGTAAAGTTAGCTCTTGCCCCACACCCCCATTCAAATAAACCCAGATACATTAAAGATCTAAGTGTAAAATCCACAAAAGAACCAGAAAAAAAATAAAGGTGAATATTTTCTATCTGATCTTGAGGTAGGGGTAGCTTTTTAAGATACAAAGACAAAATGTCATAATGAAGGAATATATCATACGTGAAAATATAAAACTTCTGCCTATAAAAACCACCTAAAACAAAACCAACAAGTAAATGTCAAACCAGGGAAAGTGAGTCACTATATGAGGCAAAGGGTTAATGTTATTTATAGAAAGCTATAGAACAATATAAGCCTCCTTAGTAGGAAAATGGACAGAAGATATAGCAATTGACAGAAAGGAATTACAAATGACAAATATATATATATATGTTTCTCTAGGGAGGAGATGGCAGTGTAGGTCTGATGGAGGTAGAATTCTTATCTACAATTTTTTTTCTAATGGTTTAAACCCAAGTGGCCTATAATACGTGGTGTTCTGATGGTTCCTGGTTACCCTCACCTGCATGTAGATCAGATTCACAGCTGCTCTGCAGTCCATCAGCAGGGAGTCGAGGGATGGGTCCATGTACCTGCACGATTCAGGAGCATTAAGTTAATTCACAGGACTCGGTTCACAGGCTCCCCTGGGCGCCTGCGTGCTCTCTGGAGCGATGTCCCTCTTCCTTCTGAACCAAGACCCCTTTCCTGACGAAGCCCCACCCCTCGACTTGCCTAGCCTTTCGTTTGTCCCTCCACCTCTTCTGTTCCCTATTTTCTTTATCCTGTAAGCTCTTGCCTGGTGGGCACTGAGAGCGAAGGTGCAAAAATATAAAACTTCAGGGGAATGGCCCGTGTCCCTGTTCACACGCAGCCCCACTGCGGGTCGCCAAGTCCTGCCTGAGTGGTCCCCACCCCTCAATACCCGCGCTCTCACTTGCCCGGACCCACACCCGTATGACTCCCCGGTGCCCAGGCCACCCACCCTCCTCTCTTGCCTGAGCTGCTCTGGTAACCTCCTCCCCAGACCTTCTGCCTCAGTCGTGTTCCCCCCTCTCACGCTCCACATTCTAACAGGAGTGGTCTCTCCTGGGTAACCTTTGAGACCCTCCTAGCCAGAAGTTAGGTCATCTGTCCTGCTCCCCTCCGAGGCCCTCCCCATAGGACCCCAGCTTTCATTTCCAGCTCCAGCTCTTACGCCCTCCCCTCCCAGCCCTCTCCAGCCCAACCACCTTTTCTCTCCTCCCCTCTGCCTGGAAGACCACTGGCCTCACCAACCTCCACCCCTGACCTTTCTGCTCCTCCTGGCGAGCCTCGCCCTCACGTCCCCTCCTCTGTGCTTTCTCCGCACCCCGAGTTCATCCTGATCACTGCTCTGATCAAGCTGATTTTGATACCAAGTGTATCAAGATCTTGAGCCCAGGGCCGGGGTCCTCTTCAGAGCTGCCCCTCTGGGCCTGGGCAAAGTGACTTGCAAATAGCAGGGCTCCATGTCCGACTAACGGATCCAGAGTCAGCAGGATGAACGGAAATGACAGTCACTGTCTAAGCACAGTCGCAGGCTAAGAATCGACAGAAAGTCAGAAAAGGGTGAGGGCAGAGGCGAGCAGAGCCACAGCACTCAGATGTGTAGGGTGAACAGACGATGGGATTGGCTTAGACTAGGAAAAGGATGGCAATCCTCGTTGAAGATCAACTTCATTCTGGGGCGTGGGCCAAGCAGCTGAAGCATTCCTACTCATAAGCTACTATTTCGCTCATGCATCCCGGGGGCAACTGTTACATCAGAGAGTTAGAGAGCCCCCAGACCCATCCCACACTGGGGCTCAGAGAGGCCAGGGCGGGCCAGGAGAGGTGCACCAGGGAATTCATGGGCAGAGGAGAATCCCTAAGACTCCGATGAGGCCTCACCACGAGGCTCGCCTGCTGGGAATCCCACAGCTCCCGGCAACGGAGCTCGCCTCCCTGCCCCCATCCTGCAAGACTTCACCCCCGAAGTGGACCGGGCACCTGCAGGATCCTGCGCCAGGCTCCCCCCGTCTGGTGACCTGATCCTCGCCTCTAACAACTGAAGTGAGACCTCCTTTCCCCCCAGTTCCCATGAGCAAAGGCAATCTGCCCGGATGTGAGACGCTGGCTTGTAGGCAGACATTTTATCTTGCGCTTGGGATCTAGAATTTGCCTGTTGAATGAAGACATAGGCAAAGCCCAATGTTCTATTCAAGCTTCAAGGTGAGGAACAGAGTCCTCATCTCTCCTTTGATCTCATGCTCTCTGAAGAGCTCATGAGCAACAAGACTAAGCCCCAGGCACTGTTGTTGTTGTCATTATTATTATCCTCAAGATAACAATAATAAGCAAGGCCAAACTGTATTGAGCATATGGGATCATTTTATTTAACCCTCACAATAACGCTATGAGGTAGATTCTATTACTATTATTCCCATTTTACAGATAGAGAAACGGAGTCTTAGAGAGCTTAAATGATTTGGCTAAGGTTATTTGGCTAAATCCTGAGAGAGCTGAGACTTAGATTCCCATCCTGTGACCCCAGGAGTAACTGTGCTCAGCCACTCGTTATACTACGCAGCTTCCAGAAGAACAGCTACTCTATAAACCCTTAGATGGAACTGCTAAGGGTTTTTCCTTCTCCCTTCTCAGCGTTCCAGATTTTGACCGTTTCTCAGAATACTTCTGAATAACTGTAAACGAACTTCTAGCCTTGCTGGGAATATGTTTCCAAAATTCAAAACCGCAGACCAGAGTTCTCACAGGGCAACACCAGGTCAAGATAACGACTATTCCTAGATTTCAAAATGCCTTTCTTTCAAGCTTCTGTGCTCAGATTACAGAATAACTGAGCTGGGAGAGAGTGAATCAAAGATGCAATCCAATACGGCCTGTAGTGACTACAGGTTATAGGTTATGTGTGGGGGTGGGTTAGGGGAGCGTCCTGCTTCTTTTTTTTCTGTTTGTTCACTCTCTCTAGGGTCCTCTGTTTCTGGGGGAAATGGTAGTATTTTCTGCCAGGTGCCCTATTGATCTAGGAACACAGCTGATCCTGGTATATAAGCGTTTATTGTTGAAATCCTTTAGGAATGTAAGCCAACCACTTAGAGTTCAGATGCACTACAAGTTGGCTGAGTCCACCCTTGGCCTTCAGGGAATACCACAGTTCAACAGATGAAGTGATTTGCTTGCAATCCTCAACCAATTCCTTCAGTCAATACAGTCAGTAATTTCTCACCATTACCTGTTTCAATCCCAACCCCAGCGGCCCTTCTTGTTCAAGCTTGACCTTCATGGTCACCATCTTCATGATAATACCCCTCGAGTATTTACTTGAAACCAGTGAAAATCATCCTCCACACCCTTCCTTGAGGACAAACCGTCTCGTCTTCCCCCTCTGTCTTCTTCACTGCTTTCCTCTTCGCCTTCCCCAAGCTCCCCTGGTCTCTGACTAGCTGTGGGGCTGTGAGCCGACAGGTGAGGATGGCCAGTTCTCATCAGCCGCGGCAGAACAGCCTCCAATGCCCACCGTCGCAACGCCTACTCACCACTTCCGGAGTCCGACCTTGCAGTTTTCCAGTTCGGAACTTCGGAGACTCACATAAGGGAGTTCAAAGTCCGCTAATTTTTTCATGACTAGAGAGAGGGGAAAGGGCATCTGACTGGTTAAGAGAGCACAGGTAGTTTATTTTACATCCAGGGCTTTAACATGAGAACATAAAGCATTACTATTGGAAAGAGTCAAGTGTCATAATAATAATATTCTCTTGCATTTGTATGTAATTTTTAGCTTTCTAAAACTAATTCAAAAAATAACATTTTATCTTCATAAAATACCAGCATCTTGAGTGAGCTCTATGTTACCCTGGGATGCAGATGGAGAGACTGCGGTCCAGGGAGGCCCGGTGCCCTTGCCGGCACACCCCAATCCTAGCGGCCAAGCCCGCTCACAGAGCCCTTAACTTCATCTGCGAGCCACCTCCCCGCGGCCTCTCGAGGACAAATGTAAAAAATTCTAAGATAATCTATAGCATTTCACAACTAAAAATCTTGCAGAATCTAGAAATGCACTGTAGAGAAAGCAAAAGCGATGTGAATGGGAATGTCGTCTTTTACTCTCTTGTTATATCTTTTTTTTAAAATCTAAGAACTTAGTTGTGTCAGCTGAACTTGTTGGCAAATATTCCTTGACAAGGAGAAATGATGGTGTGATGAGACGTCCCGATGCCTGGAGCCCTGCGCCCCATTCAGAAGGGGGTTCTGGGGTGTCCTGAGGTCAGCACAGGGCGGTGGGTAAAGGTGAGTCAGACATCGGCTTGGGACTGGGGCCGGCACAAGAGGAAGTACGGTCACTGGAAAGACCCGACTTCCTGCTCCTGTCCTTGCCACCTCTCAGGGCTACGTGACTCCAGCTCACCCTGAGCACAGACAACCTCTCACCCCCAAACTTCCCGTCCAGGAGTGGAGAACAGCGGTAGGACCACACACTGGGACTTCCCCTGAGGGGTGCCCGCCCCTCAGCTGTGCTCCTGCATCTCTGGGCTGAGCACCTGCCTGCATGGCATTCCCTCTGCCCTTACCAGAGAGCTTGCCCTCCTTGCAAAACCGAATGAGAAAGAGGCCGAAGTAGCCCAAGAGCTCCCGACACAGTCCGATTTTGTGTGACACCACCTTGAACCAAAGACAAGAAAAAGGGGTACAAGTTAGAAGTGCCCACCACGTTTGCTGTGATGTGCAGAATTCGAAACTGCCTGTAAACACAATAAGAAGCTCTTGAATGGGCTAGCAGACCTTAAAAGAAATGTTTCCTGAATCTCAAATGGTATGTACTTGTTTTAGAAAATCTAGAAATTAAAAAAAAATAGAGTGAAGAAACAATAAATCTGTCCCACCTCCCACCACAATGGACAGAGCTGAGGCTGGCTGTCCCATGTCAGGTGCGGGCGTGCCTCCCGGGTCATTTCTTGGACTTTACTGTCCACTGGAGGGCAGCACTCACTCTCCACGAACATCTGTCCCGGGACACTTACCTTCCTGTGGGCTGAATTACCAGATATCGGGGAAAGGGATAGTCCCCGCTTCTTGGCTGCCATATAAAGGTCTATGAGCTACGAGTCTTTGGTACCCCAGGCCTGCTTCTCTCTGATGCCTCCAGTGAAGTTCAAGTCTAAGTTGCATGGGGTTTGCACAGTGAAATCTTGTATCCCAGACAAGAGCTGCCCTCATTTCATATTCCTTTTTGACCTTCACATCAAAGGGCTTTCATGTCGACACCAATGGGTGCGTGTTTACCAATGGGTCACAAGGCCGCAACGTTCGCTTAGCAGGAACTTCCATCCCCACCCACCAGCCCGCCCGCTGCCTCTATAGCAGCGGTTCTCAACCTTTCACAGGGGTCGCCTAAGACCATCGGAAAACACATATATAATGACATATTGTTTTTGTGATGAATCGCTGTGCTTTAATTATGTTCAATTTGTAACAATGAAAATACATCCTGCATATCAGATATTTACATGACGATTCATAACAGTAGCAAAATTACAGTGATGAAGTAGCAACGAAAATAATTTTATGGTTGGGGGTCACCACAACATGAGGAACTGTATTAAAGGGTCTCGGCATTAGGGAGGTTGAGAACCACTGCTCTATAGGACTGGGCTCCTGAGTGATTTCTTTACATACCCCACCTGAATTCCCTAGGTCACCTCTAACCCCCCAGGAACACCTCTAACACGCCTTTACAGCCCCGTGCGTGAGCCGACACTTCAACCACGGCTCCAGGTTCTCACGGTGGAAGTGGTAGACACCAGGCTCAAAGCAGCACTTTCCTCACCAAAAATCCCTCCTGCGGCAGGAGTGGGTGTTCTCCGCGTCGCTTTGCAAATAAAGAGCCTGGGCACTTTTCACAACTTCTCCCCAACACTGACCCCCATTCTCCCATTCTCCTTTCCCCCTCACTGTCTTTCCCATGCCCTTGCAGAAAACAAAAACCAAAACCACAGGACTCCTCTACTGGGGGGGAAGGAAGGGGAGAGTGTGCTGGTAACGGATTATATCTCGTCCTGAAGTAAAGATGACCCATGTCCACTCGAATTCGATTTCTCTCTTTTCTGACTCATTCATTCGGTGACAACACAAGCTTACATGTCAACGCAGAGGAGTGAGGAGGGAGAACGGGGCAGCTTATAACTTACGAAGACCTAAGTACAAGTATCTTTTTGAGCGGAGCAAGCATTAGGAAGTGTGTATGTTTCCCTGCGGGATTAGAACAAAAACCCTCCAAAGAGAAGGGGCCTGGGACCGTGTGGGTTGAGGAGATGGTGTCCCCTCCCCAGCCCAGCTCGGAGGGAGGGCAGGCCCAGGGCAGAGCTGAGCACGGCCATGTCTGGAGGAGGGACCAGTGCTTTCTGGGCCACATCCTGGAGTCCTCAACGAACTCACACTCAGCTCTGGCTCAGAATCAGACCTGCTGGGCTGCTGGCTTCAGGGTTCTCGCTGTGAGGGAGGAGGGACGACTGGTTTGCCTTTGAGAAACCCGCGTCACTCTCTCTCGGAACCTGTCGCAGCAGCAGCAGCAGCAGCCCACCTGGGTGCGGCCTGTTTCAGCCTCATCTGGGCCCCACTGTCCTTTCTGTCCCCAACCACGGAGCACCCGGTAACAAAGCACTTGGCATATTTCCAGAGCACATCCCCAGCCGACTGCCAGGGGACTGACCGCTGGCGTGGGGAGGCCCTAGGAGATGCTGGAAAGTCGGTGCCCCTGGGGAGAGGGAAAGCAGAGGCCTGGGGGGCAGGCTGGAGCTCGGGTTCTCGGCCAGTCTCCCCGAAAATCCCAGCATCTCCACAGGTAGATCACCCAGCGTGGAAGGGTAGGCGGGAAGCTTCCAGAAGGTGACCGTGTCCTAGTCCCTGCCTTCAAACAAGGCTCCCTGCCTCCATCTGGGGCTGCAGTGTAGGTGACATTTACCTCCAGGACCCTTTCGGCCGTGTCTGATGTGAGGATTTCGACTTCCATGCTCCTTCCATCGGGCAGCAGTACATCCAGGGCGGCTTTCTTGGTGGTGATGCTGAACGTGTCCTGTGAGCACAGGGAAGGCACGGTAAGCGCCGCGGGTCCCAGTGGGGCCCTCACAGGGGACAGTCAGCAGCGTCCTCTCCCCGGCCCGGAGGGTCACAGTACCCACAGGCACATGAAATCCCAGGGCAGAAATTTGGGGCCTGGAGTTTGGGGGGGGGGCAGAGCGAGAGCTGGGAGGAGTCTGGAGAGGTGCCAAGGCAATGCAATGACATGGAACTTGAGTAATTTCCAAATAAACAACAAGGCATCCATTTTAGGGGGAAAATCATCCACATGACCTGTGGTGGTCTCAGATTTTAACTCTCGTTTTTAATATTTCCAAACATCCCCAAAAGTCCACAGAATGTAGGATTCTGCTACAGCAAAAACCTGAGCATGTAAACTGAGGGGTAGGAGTTCCCCCAGGGCAGATAGTCGCTTTCTAGGTACACTTGGGTTCTTAAAGTCCTTGGCCTATAACCACAAACATCTCTTATCTCAGGGGAAAACCACTCACAAAATGAATGGGGGAAATGTCACTGCTTTTTGATAAGATTCTAAAGAAAAGCTAGTGTTCACTTAGGTTACCTCAAGGTAACTCCCAAGGCAAGCCAGATGGCAGACCATTAAGACATCTAAACTATAGGAACCGTTAAAATGATATAAATGCACGTCTTTACTCAACTCTTCTGCAAAAGAAAAGCGAGGAAGCATTTGGATTGGGAGAGCGAGTCAGATTGTGGGTGGTCCTGAAATCAGGCGACTGAGGGTTTTATTTAAAAGGTGCCCTGGTGGTTCTGGATAGGGAACGGGAAGGGTGGAAGGGCAGTTACAGAAAGGTTTGGCTGGCAGCAGTGAGGATGGCCTGGACTGGAAGAGAGCCTGGAGGATGGGGGAGGCCAGAGAGGTGGGCTGCAGTATTCCGTGTGTAAGCACTGAGGGCCGGGGCCAGACCGCATGGTTCAGAAGCGCCATCCGCACAGCAGACTACTTGGGTTGCCAGCCTACCTCCCGCACGCGCTGCCTGCGACCTGTGTAAAGCTGGACAGGTTGCTTCCCTTGTGTCCCTCTCCTTGGCTCTAAAATAAACTTGTGGGCTTGATTCCCAGAAGGGGGCGTGCAGGAGGCGGCCGATCGATTATGTTTCTCTCTCATCGCTGTTTCTCTCCCCCCTCCCTTCCTCTCGCTCTTACAAAAAAAGCAATATGCCCTAGTCGGTTTGGCTCAGTGGATAGAGCATCGGCCTGCAGACTGAAAGGTCCCAGGTTCAATTCCAGTCAAGGGCACATGCCCGGGTTACATGCTCCATTTCAGTAGGGGGCATGCAGGAGGCAGATCAATGATTCTCTCTCATCATTGATGTTTCTATCTCTCTCTCCCTCTTTCTTCCTCTCTGAAATCAATAAAAATATATATTTTTTTAAAAAGCAATGAAAACATTTTAAAAATAAATAAAATGCTAGATGATGATATGAGGAACTGTGGTTAATGGTTTCACTGCTACACACTGTTAGGCCCTGAGGGCAGAAGCCAGACAGAGTCGGACGACTGAACTTCGGCTCCTCCCCAGCACTGCGTGTCAGGGAACAGCTGGCTCACCAAGCACAGAACCTTCAAAATTGAGGGACTGCCCGGGAAGACCTGGCCAGGGACCTGGCAAAACCCTGAAATAAAGGAGGAAAGAAACATGGCCAACTAAGGGTAAAACATATGCATCCAAAAAATGATGCCACCAAAGAGATGAAAACGATGGATGTATTAATAAGAACATGGCTTCTCTGAACTCAGATCTCAAAGCACAGATAAAAGCCTCAGAGAAGAGGCAAGATAGTGAAAGGATATAAAAGCAAGCTGGCAAAGTTCACAGAAGAAAGGAAAGGGGGAAATAAAACCATCGTGAAAATCTTATCAGAAGAAGCAAAAAGAGACGCTGCTGAACGCAGCTGGAGCACAAGGCTTCAGCATGAAGTTATAAAGGTAAAATACTGAGAGCCAGAGCAGGTAGAGATCTTTCAAATTACCTGGAAAAAAGAGGCACTCAAAACAAAGCTTCAAATTATCGATATGGAATAATTTTTAAAAACCATAATACACACACAAAAAGATGATAGAGTCAAGACCAAACATCCCTCTGTGTACTGACATAGAATGATTTGCAAGATGTAAGTTCTAAAATATAAGATTCAAACAGTGAGTAGGTGTGTGTGACTATTTGTAACACAAAACGACATACATACATGTGAATGTTTGTGTGTGAAGAAATGTGAAGAACACACATTAAACTGTGAACCACAGTTGGCTCTGAGGTCTGGGGTGGTTACTTTTATCCTGGACCCTTGTGTGTTGTTTGAATGTTACACTATCATCACCTCAACAACTGACTTTTCAAAGAAAGTGTGTGTGTGTGTGTGTGTGTGTGTGTGTGTGCATTTTTTTTATCCTCACCCAAGGATACTTTCATTGACTTGAGAGAGATTGAGAAGTATGGGAAAGAGAAACATCAATCGGTTGTTTCCCACACATGCCTGAACTGGAGATCAAACCCACAATTTTTTGGTGTATGGAACGATGATTCAAACAACTGAGTCACCTGGCCAGGGCTGTGTGTGTATTTCTTAAACCATCAAGTATATGTGTAAATTCAAATGACTACACAATAGAAGCTCTGCGGCCATTTCTTACATTGAGTGGACCAGTTTGTATATCAACACAGTTAAATGAGTTAAATGACTGAATAAATAAAATTTGCTCCCATGTTTTACAAATCAGATCAAGGTATTATTCTTCCCGAGCTCGGGACCCAGGTCAATGCTATCACATTGTACAACTAAGGCTTTCGAAATTTTTCCATTCAGTCAAGAACAGACCTTCAGGCAGAAAGATGTCCCCATCTGTACAACCAGAAGGAGTGGCGAGCTCAACAGCGTACTTGGGGAAGTTTCAGCCTCTCTGTGCACTGACATAGACTGTGGTCACGTGGGCAGTGACTGAGCCCAACAAAGGAAAGTGAGCTGCTGTACTAGTATGTCACTCTGTTCAGATGGATTTTCTCTGTGATCCACTTATAATACAATTAGGAGCAGAGAATGTACAAGTAATGGTGGCATGGCCATTACTGCTGCCCTGCTGGCTCCACCATAACACATTTGGGCATTTCAGCTACAGAAGTGGCACCCCGCCCGGCTGGCAAGGCTCAGTGGTTGAGCATTGACCTATGAACCAGGAGGTCACAGTTCGATTCCGGTCAGGGCACATGTTCGGTTGCAGGCTCGATCCACAGGAGGGGGCATGTGGGAGGCAGCCGATCAATGATTCTCTCTCATCATTGATGTTTTTCTCTCTCTCTCTCACTCTCTCTTCCTCTCTGAAATGAACAAAAATTTAAAAAATTAAAAACAAAGAAGTGGCATTGCTGCATTGTCATGGGGCCCTTCATGGTATGATTCTCAGACCAGTTATGAGATGTACAATACTTAATAAGGTAACTGCTTTATTAAATGAGCGAAAAGTCAAGTGACACTCTTAATTTTCCATCCGGAATCTAAACCTCCAAAAGAGCAAAATAGGAACCATCCTCCCAAGTGCTCCACGTGAATGTGTGCTACCTGAGTCCAGGCTCTGTGGGGCCGAAAACACGCGCGTGGTTCACGTAGAGACCTGTTCTGCAGCGAAACAAGGACCTTAGCAAAGAAGAGCAAGCTTACCAGCTGCACCCGCTTTAAAAATTCAACGAAGACATCACTTCTCAACATGTTTGGGTCCACGGTTACTAAAAAACATGGACATGGAGCCAGTTAGCATGGGGTTGGGCTAACTTCCCTATTAAACTGCTCCGACCTTCGGGAACCCTCCAGGCCTTGCTGCCTCCTTGAAGGCAGTAGAGCTTTGACCTCTCAAATACATGAAAAATCAGATATAGACAAATGTATAGAGTAAGTTTCAGTTAGTGATGGACAAACAGGGGTGTACACACACGATAGTATACACGCAGATGGTTTCTGAGGAATCCACTTGTAATAATGTGTACTTCTAGAAGTTTGGGGGCCTGGGGTGGGAGGGAATGTACCTTTCATTGTATACAGTTGACCCTTGAACAATGCAGGGGTTAGGGGTGCCGACCCCCATGCAGTCTAATATCACAATAGAACTTTTGACTCCCCCCCCAAAACTTAACTACTAATGCCCTACTGTTGACCAGAAGCCTTGCTGGTAAGATAAACAGTTGATTAACATGTATTTTGTATATTATGTGTATTATGTACTATATTCTTACTATAAAGGAAGCTAGAGAAAAGGAAAGTATTTTTAAAATCAAATACAAAGGTCACATATTACATGATTCCATTTATCTGAAATGTCCAGAAGAAGCAAAGCTATAAAGACAGACATGAGTGTAGTGGGTGACAGGGGCTAGTAGGGGAGAGGACTAGGGGGTGACTTATAATAGGCATAAGTTCCTTTTTGGAGTGATAAAAATGTTCTCAAATTAGACTATGGTGACAGCTGCACAATCCTGTAAATATAACCACAGAATTGTCCACTTTAAATGAATGGATTTCATATTGTGCAACCTATATTTCATTAAATCTATTTTTAAAAAATCCAAATACCTACCATTTTGCAAATAATGTTCCAACTGGTCCCTCCTCTCATTAGCCATAGATGTGGTCATCGCGAGATAGTACTTTGGTGGGAAGGGAGGCAGGCAATTTCCAAAGACCCGTCTCAGCTGAAAGATCCAGAAAACACACATTTATGGCAAAGAGCCTCCAATTCAAGATTGGTGAGATACCAAAGACTCCTCTTAGGGCACATCTCATTCCAGCACTTTACTCAAAATTAACTCTCCCTAATTAAGCAAAAGCAAGCAAACAAGCAAACCTCATAGATAATAGTATGTTGATTACAACATGGAAAGGGGGAGAGGGTAAAGGGAGAGGGGGAAGTAGGTGAGGGTAAAGGAATAAATGGTGATGGAAGGAGACTTGACTTGGGGTGGTGAACACACATACAACATACAGATGATGTGTTGTAGAATTGTACCCCTGAAAGCTGTATAATTTTATTAACCATGTCACCCCAGTAAATTCAATTTAAAATATTTTTAATTAACCCTTTCTGATGGCCAAAGGAAAGGAACAGGGATACTTGGATTAGCTTAAGGAGGAATTTATTTCAGTGTAGGTTTCTAGAAATACTATTACACATGTCACAGAGTGACAACTCCAGTCTGAGTTTGGTAGATTTGAGGTACGTTTTAATTTTTCATTTGTTTTTACAAGATTGCCCACCACTCACATCATACAGTATTTCTTCAATGCATACCCCAGTAGTATCTGTGATATCAATGACAATGGTTAGGAACTTAATCACCCCATCCCACTTCCACCAAATGTCTGCAGCTGTGCTCATATGGTAGCTGGTAGCCACTAGTCACCTGTGGCTGAGGAGCACTGGAAATGTGACTAGTCAGAGGTGAAATGTGCCAGAGTGTAAAAACACAACCCAGATTATAAAGACTTAGTCTCTTAGGAAAGAGAATGTAAAAGATCACGCTAATAATTTTTATATTGATTACATGTTAAAATGATAATATTTTTAATATCCTGGATTAAATACAATATATTATTAAAATTAAGATCATGTTTCCTTTTATGCTTTTTAAATCAGACTACCAGAAAATTTTAAGCCCTAGACCAGGGGTGGGCAAACTTTTTGACTCGAGGGCCACAATGGGTTCTTAAACTGGACCGGAGGGCCGGAACAAAAGCATGGATGGAGTGTTTGTGTGAACTAATATAAATTCAAAGTAAACATCATTACATAAAAGGGCACGGTTTTTTTTTTTTTTTAGTTTTATTCATTTCAAACGGGCCGGAGTTTGCCCATGGCTGCCCTAGACAGTTTGGCTCCGTGGATAGAGCACTGGCCTACGGACTAAAGGGTCCTGGGTTCGATTCTGGTCAAGAGCACATGCTTAGGTTGTGGGCTCGATCCCCAGTAGGGGGCGTGCAGGAAGCAGCCAATCAATGATTCTCTCTCATCATTGATGTTTTTACCTCTCTCTCTTCCTCTCTGAAATCAATTTAAAAAAATAAAATAAGTATATATATTTTAAAAATCATTTAGGAGATAAGGAAAAACCCAGATGAAATGCAGAATATAACAAGATAATTTAACTATATTACAAATGTATGAAACATTGCAACAAAGGAAAAAGGCACCAACCTAAGCAACTTTGCAAATGAGTGGAGTCTGTAAACCTAAGGCAAGAAAAAGGGCACAGAAGGACTGCACTCTAGTTGATCAAGTTGTTTCCCAGGGGGTAGAAGTTCATCCTAATACCGCTCTATGTGTGGATAGAATCAAACAATTTAGCCAATAGGTGGCAGGGGTGGGAATGGGGTTTCTCATGGCTGGAGTGGGAGTTTTCAGAAAATCAGGTGAGTAGGCTGTAATGGTCCATGTGGATTGTAGTTGGAGATATTGGCCTGAGCTCATGTTTGGTTTCATATAGAGACAGACAGTTGCATGTTGAACTCTCTACAGTTGTGCTATACACACATGGATTCCTTACTTTGTCAGCTGAGGGCCTAGAAACAACAACATCGCAGTGGCAAAAAACACACACGCAGTGCCCCGATCAGGGCTTCCAATACCGTTCTCCAGTAAAAGCTACCAGCGCTCCATGGAGAAATGGCTGACCTGGGACTGAGGCAGGGAATATGCAAGATGAGTCTGAAGCCTCTCGTAGCACCAGCAAGTAGGGAAGTGCTCAGGGGAAAAAAAAAACCATCAGCAATAGGGATATATCACAGAGACACAGGAGCAAAGTGAAAGAGTTCCCACGGGCCAGAGCTGGGACAATTTGAGCAACTAAATAAAGTCGTATTGAAGTACAGCCCAGAGTATAAAGTCACTATCCAGGAGTCCATACAAATATAAATGAGTGAATAAATAAATAAGTAAATAAATGAATGAATAAATAGGAGAGAATAGACAAATCTGCAGAAGAATCTCATATGATTTATGTAGACACTCATCCCACAAGAAGGAGTACAGTGGGGCCTTGACTTACGAGTTTAATTCGTTCCGAGACCGAGCTCGTTAACTCAAATTACTCTATCAACTCAATGCAAAAAGTTGGCTGAGAGACAGCTGGTATCTCAAAAAACTCGTTAGTCGGGACACTCGTTAGTCAAGGCCCCACTGTATAACTCCCAACGCTAAGTGTGGGCCACCCACAGCGACTTCCTTCCAACAATACAGTGTGGAAGGGGAGGTAAAAGGGTCACTTCATAGTGGCCAAACCTGCCAATCACTACCTCAGCCAGGAGATAACGTTCACGCCAACAGGGACGGGTCATGTTGATAGTGGCTGCCCTTTCTAGGGTGTGATGACGAGGGCCCTCGACCTGTGTGGTCTCCCTCCCAAAAACACATCGCCGCAGTCCAGGCGTGTGAGAACATCAGATTCCGATGGAGGGACCGTCCACAGAATACCTGCCCAGCACGCCTCAGAGCAGTCCGCGTCATTCATAACCACGAAACCTAAGAAACTGTCACAGGTAAGACAAGCCTGAGGAGACGTGACAATAAACGTAAGGTGATGTCCTGGATGGGGTCATGGAACAGAAACAGGACACCAGGTAAACCCTGAAGTCTGAATAAATTATAGACTCCAGTTAATAATATTATAGCAACACTGGTGCATTAGCTGTAAAAACGCACCATACTAACGGAAAACAAGAGGGAAAACCGGGTGCCGGGTATCTAGAAATTCTGTACTATCCTTGCAATTCTTCTGTAAACCCACAACTGGTCTACAAAATTAAAGTTTATTTTGAACAAACGGAATTCTGGCTTCTCTTGAAAAATCAGAATATCTGGAATCACTGGGCTCCCATTCTCTCAAGCAACCATCCCCTTCAGAGACTTGGCAGTTCCCGCTCCCCCTGGCCTCTCACCTGATCTGTGCCTCTCGTTTAAATTACCAGTCCCACTCCTGTAGCCATTTAAGTTTGCAAACTTTCTTCTAAATCTGGCAGCATAAAATTCTGTTTCTTTTCCATTCCAGGACATTTTCCTGCCATGCCAGAGACTGTCCAAAGGCACCTGCCCCACAAGGCAATTCAAACTTCCTGGGATTTATACACCACCCCCCCGCCCCCCATCTCTGCTAATTCCATTAAATAGAAGCAGAACCCTGTCTTCTTTGCATGCAATTATTATTTTTTATTAACTGACTAAGTGATCTTTAAAAGGCCGTTGTCTTCCCTGGCACATGTTCATAAATGTCACAGCTGCTCCCAAATTGGTTGGGATCACAGCAGGGCTGCCTGGGTTAAGCATCTCCAAGAGAGCAGCTTGCAGAAGCCCTCACCCTCAGGCCAAGATCTGGGGAGAAAGTCAACAAGAATTCAGGTTCCAATACCCATCACAGAGCAAAAACTCTCCCAGCAGGTTTTACAGCCTGAGCTGACTTCTCAAAGAATCCTTCCCCTCCCTGCTCTAGTACTGCTGGAAGGGGGAGATAAACATACAGCTTGTAGGTAAGTCTGCCAAAAGTCACGGTCAACTCACAAGTTCTTCAACTCTATCGAAATAGAGCCTTTCCTACTGGCATCAGACAGCACACAGTTTAGGTATAAAACCCAGCCGCATCCTGAGGAAGAATTACCTGGATGATAGTTTACCCAGTGGTCGGCAAACTCATTAGTCAACAGAGCCAAATATCAACAGTACAACGATTGAAATTTCTTTGGAGAGCCAAATTTTTTAAACTTAAACTATATAGGTAGGTACACTGTTATTAACTTAATTAGGGTACTCCTAAGGCTTAGGAAGAGCCACACTCAAGGGGCCAAAGAGCCGCATGTGGCTCGCGAGCAGCAGTTTGCCGACCACGGGTTTAGCCCACTCTCTCAAAAAATTATTTCAAGAGGACAAAAGGAAACCATACCTCTTCTGTTCTTATATTATGACGTATTTTTGGACATTTTTTAAAAGACAATGTTCAGATAATATGTACTTTAAAATATATATTTTTACTGATTTCAGAGAGGAAGGGAGAGGGAAGAGAGATAGAAACATCAATGATGAGAGAGAATCATTGATTGGCTGCCCCCTGCATGCCTTCTACTGGGGATTGAGCCCACAACCTGGGCATAAGCCCTTGGCCGGAATCGAACCCCGGACCCTTCAGCCCGCAGAACTCAGTAAACAGTCCTTAAGTACATGAATAAGTCAGTTAATTCTTAAGACAAAGTTTCTATTCTATGGGGATGCAGAACTTCCCAGGAAACCAATACTCACCACACACACACACACACACACACACACACAGGCACGGGCTTGCGCGCAGATGGGGCTTCTATATTGTTTCCTTCTTTATAGTGCTTTGTATTGAATCAGATTAAAACCCCTGAGCTACTTCACATCTTCTATAGAATAGGAAGAATAGAATCTAGGTGAGAAGTGGCTATGAGAGATCACCTTTTCAGTGTCAGGCTTAGGGTTGCCAGATAAAATGCCCAGTGAAGCACGTCCCAAATATTGCCTGGGACATACTTATTCTAAAAAAGTGTGTGTTGCGTATCTGCCATGGACTGGGCGTCCTGTGTTTGTATTTGCTATGCCTGTCAGCCTTACTGTCTATAAGACGGGGGTGATGACGAGGATGCAAAACCAGCCTTACAAGGGCGTGCTGAGCAGCTGGAGTGAAATCCTGAGCCGGGAGCCCTGTGACAGAAAGCAGAGCCTGGTTGCCTGGGGCCAGAGGTGGAGGGAAGGGATGGAGGGCAAAGGAGACAAAGAACTTTTAGAATGTGGGGCCTGCTCTCTGTCTTAATTATGGTGTGGTAATTGTATATCTTTACCGAAATCCATCACCCTGCACACTCCAGATCTTACTGAGTTATTCCAGAATCGAGAAAAGCGTGGCGGTTTAGAACTCGAGCATTTGACTCAAGCGTTAAACTGATACAATTTATTTTGTCAACTTCGGGGTTTTTTTTAAAAATCGACTGGGTCCAAGCAATTATAAAGATAAAATTCTGCCTCTGACATTGACCAGCAGTATGACTTTGGGCACGCTGTGCCCCCGTGTTCTCACCTGCTAAGTGGGGCTAGCTGTGTCCTAGCTCGTAGGACTGTCGTAAAAATCATAAGCACGCCATTCCATGCAAAGCTTGCGGGCATCAGTAACTGCCTAATTGTTAGTTATTGTTTTAAATCAATAATAAATACCAGTCCTAGCCAGTTTGGCTCAGTGGAGAGAGCGAAGGCCTGTGGACTGAAGGGTCCCGGGTCCCGGGTTCAATTCTGGTCAAGGGCACATGGCTGGGGTTGCAGGCTCCATCCCCAGTGGGGGACATGCAGGAGGCAGCCAATCAATGATTCTCTCCCATCATTGGTGTTTCTCTCTCTCTCCCTCTCCCTTCCTCTCTGAAATCAATAAAAACACATTTTAAAAATAATAATAATACATACCAATAGCCACCTAAGATCTAAATACAGTAGGGCCTTGGGTTACATCGGCGATCCCTTCCTAAGGCGCGACATAACTCGATTTTCACCGTAAGTCAGAACCCACCTACGTCACTCACATGGAGCACATACTCAGCAGTAATGAAGTGAAACAGTAAAAAAAAAAAAAAAAATTAAAAGAAAGATAACAATTCCTGACCTTTACTTGTGGTAAATAAATAATAAAAAACATAAAGCACATATGCACATACGTCGACATGACAGAACATTTTTTTTTATAAATAAATGGGAGATGGCGACGTAACCACGAAAGGACGTATATGGAGTCCGACATCACTCGAGGACTGCCTGTAGTTTCTTTAAAATGGAGTTGTTTCCAAAGAAGGGGGAACAGTAAGTGCGAGGTGTGAGGGGCAGCGGCAGGTGGACGCACTGAGTTCTGAGCCGGATAATCCACAGCTGATCCTTCCCACCACGTGTTCCGCGGATCCGGAGCCTGAACTGCTTTCAGGGCCCGGAGCCCGCGGGGCGCGCGCTCCTCACCTGCGTCCGGGGACCGGGCTGGGCCGCCCGGGGCGCGCTCACCTGTTCGTTCCAGCGATGCAGCTGGCTGTAGCGCACCCTGCAGAACAGGAGCCCGTCCAGGTACACGGAGTACAGCTGCAAACAGAGACGCGGCCGGTGAGCCCCGGAGCAGGCGCGCCCCGCCCGTCACCGCCTCCCCCGGCCCAGCGGGACCCCGGCTCCTGCGCACCGTGTAGCGGCCGCCCAGCGCGTCGGGCCGCTGCTGGGACACCGGGATGCAGAAGTGCATTTTCATGGCTCGCGGCGCGGTCCGCGGTCCGGGGTCCGGGTTGGGTTGCTGCGGGGAAGCCCGGCCTGCGGTCCTAGGCTCTGAGCCCCGAGCGGTGGGCGCAGCCGGGTGGCCACGCCGTCGGGGCGGAGCCCTGCTCCCGCGCCCCCAGGTCCCCGACGTCCGCAGGTGGGGCCGGGGCCGCGGCGCCTCCTCCCGGTCCCTGCCCGGCCCTGGCTGCGCTGCTCAGGTCCCTGGACCCGTGGAGGGTGGAGCAAGTCTGTGGGCCTGAGCCGAGCCCCGCAACCACCCCGCCCCGTGCCCCCCACCGCCGCGGGCAGCCAGCGCGGGAGGCAGGGCTCCCAGGTGCCGGGCAGGGCCTGGCACCGGAATTCAGGGTGGAGAGACAGACATCTGAGAGGGTGCCAGAGCCTCCGGCCAGGGGGTCCCTCTGGAGTCTGGAGGCTCCTGGTGGGG